CCCGCCAAATTTTAAAATTCAAATCATTCTTTTTGCTCTCTCCACCCCATCCCACCTCCAACAACCCCACCACCGTCGGCGACTTCTCCGGCGAACCCACTTTCGACGACTGCTCCGACGACAATTTTGACTGCCTCCAACAATCTCTCCAGCGACGACTCCGATGACCATTCCGACAACTGACGACGTGCCTGTCTTCTTTTTTTTCATTTTTTTTTTCACAATAATCTATAACTAATTTCATTAGATTTGTGACTTATGACCAATTTTATTAGATCTGTGACCTAATTAGGTGAGATGAATATGCATGTAATCAATTTCAAAATTAAAAAATAAAGTTTGAAATTTCAAAAATTAGATACTATTAATATTTTAATTATGAAATAATTAATCAAAAATATTAAATTTACAATCTTTTTTTTCTTTTCTTGAACAACAACTTGTGACCTACGTACATTATGATAAATAAAATATGATTTTTAATTGTGATTTGCTACCTATGACTCGTAACATAAATTTTGTGGTATATAAATTTGATCTGTGACTTCTACAAAACGACATGTGACTTGTTAATATTAATTTGTGACCCATTTATACTAATTTGTGACTTGTATAAAAGGATTGTGACATGTGAGCTCAAACTTGTTACCAATGTGTTGTGACCTTAACGACGAATTGTGACCTGTAACGCATAAACTGTGACCTTATGTGTTCATGATCGAATTTATCTTCATTGTGATTGTGTGCGATCATGTTAGTCTGATTTGTGACTATATGTAATCAAGTAATATATAGTCACAGTTAATACAAATCTAGTCACAGACGGTCACAATAAAAATAGACTTGGTCACTCACCACCATTCCTAACACCAACAAACACAACCTTACTAGAATCACAAGTACTACCATCAAGAGAATCGTTGGCACCGCACCACACCACACCACCATCGATACAACCTATCCAAGCACTGTGACAAAGACCACCACCACCAGTTTCAACAAAAATCGCCCCCAATCGCCATATCCACCGTCACCAACAGAAATCAATTACCACCATATTCAACAAAACCACCTCCATCACACCATTATCACAACTTGTATCCTCAAATCACCACAACTACCTCCTCACTATTGCACATCGACACTGTACAGAGAAGCCGTCGCTGCCACCTCTACCTAGTGATGGCAACGGGGCGGGGCAGGGCAGTTTTCTTGCCCCGTTTAATTTTTTTTTTAATTCCAAATTCAATAAAATACAGATAATATTCAAGCTGACAAAGTTAATACCCAAAATAAACACTACAAATCTTAAATATAATGGTCGCTATTGATATACAATAATAATTATTAGGATGAACAAGGTTTTTTGTGTTTTTTCCTTTGATATTGTCACAAAAGTTGTAACCCCACACACTTTAATTTATTACAATATATAGATTTTTAAATTTGTTCAGTTGAACATATTATATCTTTTTATATTTGTTTTCATCAATATAATATCAATTTGACAAAGCAGCATAATGGTATATATAAATTAGTTAAGTTTGATAAGAATTGTACAATTGAGGATACTAGGAAATAGGTCACATCCTTCTATTTGAAGCAAGTTGAACCCTAATCTTTTAATGAAAAAAAAATCACGAGGCGAGGGAGACCATTTATGCCCAGCCCCGCCCTGTGCCCCGCGACAGGGTGGATTTTTTTGCCCCATTCGGGGCAGGACGAGGTAAATTGTCATCACTACCTCTGCCCCTGTCGTGGCGACCAAATCCACCACCATC